GGTTGCTTTTTTCCCCTCTGGGAAGCAGCACCCACACATGTGGTACCCAGTCAACTTGATTGAAGATGAGGATTTTATAATGATTGAATGAGAAACCTGGGGACCTCTTGCTAATTGAGGAGCCTGGTCTAGGATTTAGAGAGCTTATGAATTTGATTGATAGAACTTCTATGCTAAAAAGAAAAGCAATTGAAAGTAACTGACTGCAACTTGTCCTCTAGGGAAGAGGCCACCAAAGCTCAAGAGAAGATGGAGACTTTCTTACAGAAATGAACTTCATACGGAAATTCTCGGCCTTAGGTCTCAGAGCTCCTGACTGGCTGTCTTATGTACTTGTGTGGAGCCTTTGCCTCTAACCATGCTCAGCATCAGCGAAGAAACAGAGAGAATCAACTATTTAAAGTTTTTTTCCTTCCCACAGTTAGCGTTGAGCAGCTCCTGACTATTGCTTTAAAAAATAAATACAGAATCTCAATGTATGAATAATTAAACCTTGTTCAGGGGCTTAAGGGGAAAAGTTCTGAAAATTGCCCCTCCCAAGTCCTGGCTTTTGCAGATAGCAGTATCAGAGCCCTGGCAGGTCCCCTCCCCTTGCTGTGTCTCTGAGTCAGCCTAGGACAGAGTGGGGCAAGCTCTCCTTGACCTGGCTGCTGAGTAAGACAGGCAAAAATCTCATAGTCTGTGAAGTCAGGACATGGATATTACAACCTCCATGAAAAAGAATATGACTTCTGATCCATGTTTATCCTTCTCATATATAAAAGTGACAGCCAGGTCTTTGAACTGGAAGCCACGCTATTATCTTCCCCAAACACCAGTCATGGTCAGCACCTCTCCTCCCAGGTCTGTGTGCTTATCTTTAACATAATAGTCAGGAAATGTTTAAGAAATTTCTTCTTTCTTTCTTTCTTTTTTTTTTTTTTTCTTATTTCTATGCCTCAATAGCTCTGTTTGAAAAGTGTACACTTTTCCATTAAAAAAAACCATATTAAATTTCAAAAAAAATTTTTTTTGTGTTTGTGTAAATTCATAGAAAGATGTAATTGTTACTGCTATATTTAAACCGATTTGTAGTAAATAAAAGAGAAAAATGCTGCAAGTCAAAAAAAAAAAAAAAACCTATCATGTTTAAGTCTTAGCTTTCTATCCATCATAGAAATATAATACAGCTAGTCTAATGCTTATGAACAACGATGAGAGAGTGTATATAAAGAACCTAATCCTCTGGGTGACACCCAGGGCAAAATCAAGACAATTCATTGAATTTTTAATGGCTCATTACTGACACTAAAGGATATTTAAACAGCTGGTGACATATCATTAGCATACCAAAACTGTGACTGGAAAAGGGAGGAGGGATGGAGATGAGAATTCTTTCTCTGTATAAAGGGATGATCTATGAAAGCGGCACAGACACTCTCTATTCTTGGCTGCCCAAATATAGATGCTAGGATAAAGCCTGGTTTGAGAGTAGGCAGAGGTCAGAGTGGTCTTCAGATGTGGGTTAGATGTCCCTCATTTTGGAATCTTTGTTAAAAAAAAAAAAAAAAAAACCAATAACCCCAGAAGTGCCCTGCCCAGAGGTAACATAACCTCCAGAACAGGTATGTTCTATGAAAAGCACTAGGTAAGTTCTTGTTCCTCTTCTCAAAAAATCTAACAAAGAAGCTTATCTTTAAAGCCAGAAGAGACAACAGGAATTTTGGTCTGTGCCTTTGGAGACTGGCATGTTATTTCCTTTGTAAATCAAGTTGAACTTTTCTGTCTGCTTCCAAGATGTGTTGCAATTGGAGGGGGACTTGAAGTATTCAGAAGCTGGGATCTCACAGGTGGAGGGGGGGAAGGAGACATTAACACCTGCCTCTATCAACACACTCCCTTGTCATTTTGGTGTCGTTGTCATCTAGAAATTGCAACCCACAGATCAAACTGCTTTTCCAATTTTTTTTACTACTTTTAGTAACAGCATCTCACCTAGGAACTGATTGATTAAATTAAATCTAGGTACTCTGGCTCTGGAGAAACATCTTAATTATGAAGAGGAGTTTTCACCACATCTATGAATATGCCTACCTAGCAACCTGTTATCTATCTATTCAGTCGTCCATTCATTCATAAAGAGAAAGCTTACAGTATAGTTGCAGTATATAAGGATGCAGTGCTGTGTATGCACGTGTGTGTGTGTGTGCGCGCGCACGTGTGTGTGTGTGTGTGCATGTGTGTGTTTGTGTGTGTCTGTGTAGGTAGGTAGGTGTAGGTAGGTAGGTAGGTAGGTAGGTAGGTGTGTAGGTAGGTAGGTAGGTAGGTGTCTGTGTAGGTAGGTAGGTTTGTGTGTGTCTGTGTAGGCTGTGGAGGTACAACAGTTACATGCCGCTATGCTGCCCCCTATGGGTCTTCAGCTCCCCTGAAAATCTCTCTCAACCTCTTAGAATAATTAAATGTGAGAACCTTTTGGGTGACAGGGCCCTATCCTCCGTGTTTAAATATCCCAATTAAAAAAATAATAATTCTAAAAGTAGCAAGGTAGTGTCATATTTAGTAGAAGAACAGTATAACAGAAAAAATTATAACAGATTAATATGAAAGTAAAATAAATCAACCACAGAAATACATCAAAAACATGATTTTCTTTACTATTTAAGGAAATACACAAGAAATTCGTGTTTATACTTATGTCAAATTCAAATGCTGATGGTCAGTTGGTTTTCTTGTGCTCTCTTCCAAGCACTGATAGAGATATTCAGATACAGAAATTCAGAGAATTTCCAGCATTCACTTCACCATCGCACAGTTCTCTACTTTCTGCTACATGGAGAAAGGGAGAGAATGATAAGAAAGCACCTTGCCTTGTCCATAGAGACATTATTATCTCTTCTTTCCTTTCCTCACAGCCAAACACATGCCCCAATTGATTGCAAGAGAGGCTGGAAGTTGTAGAGAGACACAAGGCCTCTAATAACCGGCATTGTTTCTGCCATCTCTGTTACAACGATTAGCATGGCTACATGTCTGAAGCCAACAGAAACACTTATTATAAAACCACAGGTAGGATGAGCCATAACTTGATTGTACTTAAACCATAAGTGTAAGACTGAGTGAGCCTAAATTACCAAATTCCATAATACTTGGCTGATCTAGACTCTTTCATCCCAAACCATACCTTATTTCAGAACCAATAACTTGTCATAAATTATCATTTTATAGAAGTTATATCTAAATAACTCATGTTAACATCTCCATTCTGCTTCTTACTAGCTGCTTGATCATGAGACATTTTCTCATGGCTCTGTGTTCATTTGCCTACACTGGAAAGGATGCTATAATAGTACTTGACTTACAAAGTTATTGTGAATATTAAGTGAGTTAATATACCATTAGTGCCTTGCACACAGTATCAGTCATAATGGTTTTATTATTATTATCACTTTTTAAAAATATATTTGATTTTTATTGGCAAACAAATGCATATTAGTTATAGGCTGTGGTGTTATGAGTCAATAGATGTCTACATTGTGTTTTTATACATTACATGATCAGCCCACGTCAATTGGTATATACATCCCTTTAGACATAAACATTTCTTTGTTTTGACAACATCCGAAATTTTCTCTACTATCTATTCTGAAATATTCAATTGAATGATAACCACAGTTGATACCTACTGTGTGATAATTCATTAAACATTCTTTCTATACAACTGTACCTTTATACTTGTTAACTTCTGTCCATCTCTTCTCCTCCCCTCTACTTACCACTGTTCTTCCCACTTCTACAGATAAAATTTGTTAGCTTCTACATATAAGTAAAAATATTTACTACTTGTTTTTCTGTGTCTGATTTATTTCATTTAAAGTTCTCCAGTTCCATCGATGTTCACACAAATGACAAAATTTCATTCTTTTGTGGGTGAATGAAATCTCATTTATGTATATGTACTACACTTTCATCCACCCATGAACACCTGCATTGATTTTAGATCTTGGTGATTTCCAACAATGCTGATATTACCAGTTAACTTTGAATTGTCCTAATGTGTTTATTGAGGGAGGATGTAGGGGTACAAAAAGCACCAGAATGCTTCTCCCAAGTTCTTCCCTTTTATTTAAGAGTCATCTACCCCCATAAACTCTTGGATTTAATAGTTTGAGGGTAGCAAACAATGAAAGTTTCACTTCAAGTCAGATGAATGGACTGAATGTTCTATTTGAGTTTTTATCTGATGGTCACAAGATAAGGAGAAACTTCTACTACATATTCTTTCTAAATCCACTTGCATATTGTCTGATTTTGGATAAACTACCTAACTGCTGACCTCTTTATTAAGAAAATGCAAAGCACTTTCATGAGAAGTAGGTAAAAATATTAATTTCTCAGTATTATTATGAGTAGTCCAATAAGAACCACATATATTATTATATGCTGAACTCATGTGATCAGTGAACTTTCAGTGGAGTCAAGGCAGGGAATACAGTAAGGAAAGTCAGTCAGAAGCAGAATAAGGAGCAGAGAGCATCCCAGGAGAGTATATGCCTGAGACAGAGAGTAAGGCAAATGAGAATAGCAAAAAGCACAAAGAGAAGACACAAGTGATTTCTGTAAAGCTCATGAGCAGAGAGGTACAGCAAAGAGATACAAGGATTGGGCATTTGAAAGGCAGATATGGAGCAGTGCCGCCAAGAGCAGTGTCTCAGGAATGGCGTTGGCAGGTCAAAGTGGAGAGGAAGTAGAAATTAACATGAAACTGAAAACAATTGGGAAATGGTAGGAGAACAGTGTCAGCCCTGTAATACAGCAACATCATTGTCAATATACACATAGATTCAAAACAGGGGTGGAAAGATGACAACATACTTTAATTCATCTTTATGTGGTGTAAAAATTACTGAAAGCATTACTAATGTTTCATTTTACTCTGAATAAAAAAATGAGTAATACAAGAATTCTTTCCACTAATGGTAAGTGTCTAGAAATCATGATGCTCTCAAAATATAATGAATGGCTCAAGCCCTGTTGTACACAGAGAAAAGATGAACGATACTTCTTTGAACCTGCTTAGTCTTGATGCTATATATAATGGGGTTCATGAATGGAGGAAAGAGAAAGTAGACGTAGCTCATGGTAATATGGACCACATGGGGGGCGTGTTTCCCAAACCTGTGGATGAAGGTCAGGCTAATCACAGTGAGGTAGAACACCAGGACACAGCTGATATGCGAGACACAAGTGTTGAGGGCCTTAGCTCGCTCCTCTCCAGAGGCGATGCCCATCACTGTCTTAAGAATTAGCACATAAGAAAAGAAAATGATAAAAGCGTCCAGAAAGAAAGTGAAAGCAACCAGAACAACCGGGTATAAGCGATTAAAAGTAATATCTGCACAGGCAAGTTTCATGACATCCTGGTGGAGGCAAAAGGCATGGGAAAGAACGTGAGAATGACAATAGGGGAACCAGTAGAGTGGCAGAATTGGGGGCACAGTGGAAACAAAGCCCCTCAACAGAACGCCCAGTCCTATCTTCATCACCCTGGAATTGGTAAGAATGGAGTTGTACCTCAGAGGGGCACAGATGGCAATGAAACGGTCATAGGCCATGGCAAGCAAGACACCTGATTCCACAATGGAAAGGGAGTGAATGAAATAGGCCTGAGTGAAACAATCACCCTGGGCAATTCCTCTTTGATCAAGTAACAGGACACCCATGACCGTGGGCACTGTGGTTAGTGTCATCCCAAGATCTGTACCTGCCAGCACAGCCAGGAAGTAGTACATGGGCTCGTGGAGGCTGTGGTCATTCCAAATGAGGAAGAGAAGGGTGCCATTGCCTGAAAGAATGAAGAAGTAGATGGCAAAGAAAGGGATGGAAATCCAGCGGTGAATTTCTTCTGAGCCCAGAAAGCCAGTCAGCAAGAAAGGAGCAGCACTGTTGTTGGCCCACATAGTAGGTGCTGTGGATAAAGCTGAGATGTCTCAGTGGTTATGACGTCTAGAGATGCAGTGTCCTTTTTCTCATCATCTTGTAGCACATCGTCAAGCCATTTTTCACCTCAAAATCTTAAAATCCATTTATTATTTTGGATTTAACTAATTATAAGGTTGCAAGCATGAGCCTTTGCCTAAAAAACAAATGACCATAATAACTATGACAACAATCACACCTCAATGTGAAATATGCAACTAACTATTTACAGTCACACATCTTACTAGGGTTTTTAGCCTTGTTGTCTAATTTCAAATTGTACAACACTGAGTTTCTTTCATTCTCTCCACATTTTTATTTCCCTCATATAACAATCTTTTCTGCATTTCTATACAATTTGGGAAGTTTAGACTTTTTCTTGGGAGCAACAGGATATCTTGAAGATTAATCACTAACAAAAAATGTTTAATCAATGCAAATGAAGCAACCATCATGAAATGTTTGAGAAATGTTGTTAGCAACATTGTTGCCTTGCATATATAATGAATATGGCAAGAACTCATGAGAATATCTGAGAAAACTAATCCAGTGGCAGAACCAGTGAACTCATTTTAGAAAGCCAAGATTACTTAGTAGATTGAGACTTGGGAAATTTCCAGTGCTGCAAAGGTTCTGAGATTTACAGCATTAGAGACATAGTTTAAAACAAGAAAAGAGATATGCTTTGGAAACTCTAAAGGGAAATTATAAGAACAGATTTCTAGATCAAGTATCTCCAGAGAAGTTTCAAACCGATATGGAGCCACAGATATATATATATATATATATATATATATATATAGATAGATAGATAGATAGATATAGGTATAGATAGATAGATAGATAGATAGATAGATAGATAGATAGATGTAGATAGATATACATATACAAATAGAGATATATATCTGTAATATATATATATTTGTAATATGTATATCTGTAACAATATATAAAAGCATGTTTATCAGCAGGAAAATTATAGCATCAGAAATTGATAATTGAATATACAGTATACTCAGAAATTGTAAGGGGACACTGAGGACTTCCAGAGTGAAAAATAATGACTTTATTGCTAATGGAGATAAAAATCACATAGACCTTTAATCATTAGTTGTCTATAAGGCCTATATCCAGGAAATTAAAGAAGACTTCATATGGCTTTTTGAAATGTGACTGACTTCTAAGCACATGCTTAGGAAATCAAGTTATCACTTTGCATGCAACCAAGAAATTTTGGAGCAGGTTTGTTACAATAAATAATTGAAGATAATGACAAGGGAAACATTAGTTTCTGCGGATAAAATATTTTCTCCCAAATTTAGTTGAATCCATGTATGGCTAGAATATTTTTAAATCTTTTTATTATAAATAACTCTACTGATACTTCTGAAGTGGGTTACAGGAAGAGTGAAGTGTTAGAAATCTTTACATTCCTTCTGTTTCATAAAATTATAAAGACAAAATTAAGTACATGCTAGAGAATGTTGCCACATGAAAACACTTAACAATGATAAACCATACATGATGGAGAAATATATATGAAAGAGAAATTCATAAACCATGATAAAGGCTACAATTTCAGCAGACACTGTTACTGTCAAAGTCATCCCAGAAACAGAAGTAGGAGATACTCTTGTTGATGTAGGTACTGAAAAATTGGTGCACTGAATTATAACTTATATAAATTATAACAGTTGCATTGGCAACTCTTATCTACTGCTACAAAAGAGTGATGTGAATGTAGTCATAAACCATAATTTCGGGCTACGTCTCTTTTAAAGTTTCAACATTGGCTTATGAATAACACATTGAGATGGAATAGGATGGATAAATGGCACAATTATTGTACATGATTTGTGTAAAACACCTTGCTTGTACATGCTGGCACCTTAAATGTGGACCAGAGCGAGGAAGCCGGAGGAGACAGGAGAGTGCTTCCATTATAATGCCATCTTCAAAGTTGGAGTTAAGAATTTTGGACAGATCAGGGTTTAGGTACTAAAACAATTTCTTAATTTTTTTTAACTGTGGTACTTGAAGGAATACCTTGCTTGATATTTTCAGTCCCTAGAAATAGCTTATGCCATTTAATTGCAGCAATTCAGAACCATCTAAATACTCAAATGTGAAGGAAGAATACTCGCCCAGTTATATATGTGGTATACAACATTAGGAGCAGCCAAAGAGCAAAGGAATTTTTCAGTACTCTGAGGCAAGCCTAGAGGCTTCATAAAGAATGCAGACATGACTGGAAATCACTATTCATCTCCCCATTCTGGGGATCTTCTTTGGGCTTATTTTACGAAAGTGGCTAGGCCTAAGTCACCAATAGTTTTTGAGAATAACACAGATACCTCATTCAGAGTTTCTTCAACTTTCCTAACTAGAGGTTATGGAACTGTTACAGAAAACTGTTATAAAGACATAAGAAGTTGAAATCAGGAGGCAAAATGAGCATATTATCCTATTAAGAAAATGAGGGAAATCTTAACTTGAGCTCTCGATGATCTGCAATACGCTCTTCTATCAGATTTCCCTGACTGTTTCTCTTACCTTAGCCTATTCCCCAACTTTTTACAATCCTCATCCATATATGCATAATGAGAAACCAGGGGGCTACACTCTGAATGACCTCAGTTTTTAAAGGACTCTTTCAATTTTACTGTACATAATAATCAACAGAAGAGAGGTCAGGAGAGAAAACTTGGAACCTAGAAAAATTTTTCTTTGTGATAGGAGAGCATCTCAAACAAAATGAGACACATAGGCAAAGATATGTGGATATAGCAAAAGGTGTTCATGTTTACAAAAGCCAATATGCAAGAAAGAATTTCAGCAGTATTGTGGTTTAACAGTGGGAAGTATTACAGTTGCCCAATAAGACAAAACTGGAAAATATCCATTGACTGGCAAATAGGTGTTTGGGAAACTTGACATTTTCAATAGAATGCTACAAATAGATACCTAATGATTATGAAATGGAAAACAAATGAATACAAGAGAGTGAAAACGATATATTACCCATGTTCTTCAGACAACAAAACTGAGACTTAGGTGTGCTGTACTTAATAAATTCCCTGTGGTTGAACAAATACTATGTGGCACACAGGAATGTAAACTCAGTTTTTTCTGATACAAACATTAAGCTTGTAATTTCAACCAATATTCAGTACATGTAAAAGTTGGTCTCTTGTCTAACTTCGCCATTTTCCTTTAGTGTCCCCTCCTTGAATTCTTTATTCAATTGAAAATAACCTTCTCAGTCTTTACTCAAGAACCGACTGACTGAAAACCAAGCAGAAATGTTACTTTTAAGTATCCTTTCTGCATTAAACCCATAGTTTTCCTTACCTGATCCAATTTTCTCTTTGCTCTGAGCATGACCTGGGATTGGTCTGTTGCTATATTTTCTCTATATAGTCAAAATCCTGAAGAGAGATATATTTATTAAAGATAACTCCCAAAGGGTCACTCTAGATCATTTCCACACAGGCTATTTGAAAGTACCAAAATAATCTTCATCTCCTCTCTCACCTGGGAAAGAAAGCCTGGGCCAATTAAGTTAGTATCTGTGATCTCCACTCTTGTCTGGGTAGACAAGATATGTTTTGCCATCCAATGAGGCATGATCTGAATTGTTTTCAGTGTTCTGTGGGCAGTAAAGAGAGACACTTTTTCATCCTGAAAAATGACATTTAAAGAAAAGTATTTTACTCCTCTCTTTTCAAACTGTTTACATAGCATATTTTCAAAGACAATGGTTGTTTTAGAAATAATAAACTGAATAGCCTATTGAACCCAATCATTCATAATTCTTGAGTTACTACCTAACAATTTCATCGGATGATTGCTCAAAAGACATCCATTATTCTTTTTCATTGATTGAAAAACGCACTACTTACTCTATGAGGCATGTGCATGTAATTGAAATATGTTACTAATTTACATATCAAAATAATACAATAATAAACAATACATATGATTTTTATATGACAGAAATCTCATATTTAATATCTAATATTTATTCCTTATTTCCAGTCCTTATCTTCAGAATCAAACTAATCTGGTGTTAGGAATAACATTTATAATATTCTCTGTAGATATGGAAAAACAATTGAATTATTACCTCTTCGATTTCTTTACAGATTAACATCAATTAGACATTTGCCTGTTAATCACATAACAATTTAAAGTCCTAATCATGTCTTGTGATGCTCCTTCCAGTTAAGCATTTTGATTCAGGTGCAGCAGTGTTTTCGTTACTGTAAATCTCTCTTAAATCACACTGAGCTTCTAGTTAAGCACCATAAGATTGCACTGTACCTATAAAATATCTATCCCCTATCTCTTTCATTCTGACATTTGTATATCTACTGATTTCTATGTTGCCATGTCACATTATCTTCAGTCAACTAAAAATTTTATTTAAACAATTTGAGCTAAAAAATTGCTTCCTCCAGGAACTTTTTTGGCTCAAAAAAATTGTCTTGGAAAATATTTTTCATGGAGTGAGAAGGTATAAACTGGGCGTGCAAAATGGAAAGTGTCAATATTTTAATAATTTTAATAAATTATCTGCATATGAGATATTTAAGACTTTATTTGAAAAAACATGAAATATGATTGGAAGTGGAAGAAGCCCCCAAGTTCAACATAGGAGAGTATTTAAAAGAACATCTGCACAGAGTGGTTTAAAAATAATTCAGTTCATTTGATTAAAAAAGGCATATATAAGAACTGCTAGTAGTCACATGATACGTGGTTAACATCATTAGTCATTCTGTAAATGCAAATTAAAATCATAACAGGATACCACCATGCTTACTAAGATGACTTATCAAAATAGTAGAATATAACAAGTGGGTGAGTGTGGAGAAACTGAAGTCTCATTACATTGCTGATGTGAGTGGAAACTAGTGCAGCAGGTAAGAAAAAAGAATGGAGATTTCCCACAAAGTAACAAAACTCCATTTCTCAGTATATATTTAAAACAAAATTAAAAAGCATGACATCTATGCTAATAGTCACCAAGACATTATTCCTAGCAGCTAAAATATTTAAAAACGTGTCTATTGAGAAATGGATAGATGAATAAAATGTAATATGGACTTATAATACATTATTATTCAATCTTTAAAAAGGATAAATTTGTAAAATATGCTGCAACATCAATGGACTTTGAAGCAACTCTAAGTGAAGGAAGCCAAGCACAAATGGCAAGTGCATATGAGTCTAGTTTTATGCACTATTGTATAGTCTCCTTTTAAAACACCAAAGTAGATCAGACGTGACCAGGGGCTAGGAGGAAAGTTAGAATAGGAAGATATTGATTTATGAATACTGATTTTCTGCTAGGGATAATGAAAACAATTTAAAAATTTTTAGAATTATGGTTACTGCAAATATTATATCACTGAATTATATTCTTTGAAAAGGTTTATATGGAAAATTAAATATACATGCACACAATCATAATAGTAAAATGATGAGCTTATAGATATGATGAATAAGTGAAATTTTAATCCACTTTGTTAAATTTGAGAAGTTTGTGGTTAAAAGCATGAGGTTAGAGATTATTGCTATGATCAGATGTTGAAATATTCCACATGTGCATGTGTGCACATATAAATACACCTGCAATTATACATCCATGTCAATTCTAGTAAAGTTTCTGAGATGTTGAAGATGATTTACACTGTTTATTTTTTAACAAACTAAGATGGTTTTTTATCTTGTTGAAGGAAGAATGAAGAATGAAACTCTTCCCCACTTCATGTGATTTTCCTCAGAGATCTGTAAATCTCAATAAATCCAGATCCTGTGTCTTATATCTGTGCATTACCTCAGATCTGTTCCTAAGCTGAGTTATTTTTATGTTTTCCTCAAACTCCTTGGATACCTACTTACCCTCTGATATGCTCTTTTCTTTCCTCTTTCAAATCCGCTTTTTGTGCAATACTGAAATGATGTCAAAACTTCAACAAAATTTACTATTCTTTTCCTTATTTTTCCTTAGCAATCCCATAAGCTTTCCCGTCTTCAGGACGTATACACTGCTTTCTTCATAGAACATTCTTGATTATTTTTACCAATTAGTCTCTAGTCCATTTTACTAGCTCAGCTGAAGGGACACTTTCTCAGGGAGTCTTACCATTACCTCAAGCCGCTTTTGACACCCACCAGCTCAACACAGTTCCTTATTTCTGTTTTGCAATTAATCACAGACTTTATTTCAACTTGATTTTATTAGATTGTAACCCTGATATTACTTGAAAACTATAAATACAGAAAATTTTGTTTATTTTCTCCTGTTGCATCATTTTTACTTAACAAAGTCTTACTATACTTCCTTTAAAAAAAGCTAAGCAGATTAAGGATTGGATACTAGTGCTACCTCTATGGAAACAAGCACATAAAGACTTGTTTAAAGTCTTGATTTTCCTTCAAATACAAACGTATTTTAACATAAAATATGTAAAATAAGTCATACAAAAGTTTAATAAAAGGCATAACTAAACTTGAAATCAGGAAATGTTTTGTAAATGTGGCTTCAAAATCTCTATAGGTAAATATAAATAAGGAAAATAATTTTATATAAGATTTTAAACTTGTATAATATAGCTATCATAAATTGGACAAATATTTGCAATAGATATAAAACCCTAAAAACAATGCATAATGAACTCCTATAGCTAGAAAGACATAAAAATTATCAAAAAACATGTGACAGAAAATATAAGCAAGATTTGACTATGGTACAAACTTTGAGATGGACAAGAAAGGACAAAGTGAAGAAGAGGACAGAAAGAGGATACTATTTGAGTATAAAAATACTTTTGAGATGGGAGAAGTAAATTTTGGTGTTCTACAGCACAGAAAGGTGACATACAAAAATATAATTTAATGTATGTTTGTTTCATATTTCTAAATACCTAGAAGAAAATATTTGAATGAGCCTAAGGAAAATAATGATAAATCTTGTAAATGAAGGACATGTTAATTACACTTATTTGATCACTGCATATTGTTTCCAGGTATCAAAATATTATACCACATCCCATAAATATGTAAAATTATTGTATGTAAGTCAAAAATTCAGAATAAAATGTAGATTGAATGTGCACAACTAATATCAGATGATATCTCATTTACCATACATTCCAAGAGTGCTTTTATTCAGAATTAGAACGGAGTATGTGAACAAATCAACTTGTGAAATAAACTAACAAGAAATAAGGAACTGTAAAGCTTCATAAATGGTATCTGTGTAATTTGCAAAGAAAACTTTGCAGTGGAAAAGAGTTCTCTTGCCACATAATAGAGTTCTACGGGCTTTCATTCAGAAGCTCCAATTCACCTTTCAATAGCCACTAAATGTGTCTGAAATTGGGCATTTTTCCTTATGTAGATTCTAGTTAACTACTCTGGCACAGCTTCTTCACTCTTAATAGCTACAGGATCTACACTGACTTCCCCGCTTATTGGGGGATTTGTGTACACTTCTTACATCCAAATTCAATAGCATTTTCACTTTTTTTTTTTTTTTTTTTTTTTTTTTTTGGTCCCGGGGATCGAACTCACGACTGCCTGCTTGCAAGGCAGGCGCTTATGTCACTGAGCTAAATCCCCAGCCCCCGCATTTCACATTCTTATTGCTGTCTTTCTTTCTCTCTCTTCATTGCTTAATTTATTGTGTAGCTTTATTCAATAAATAAAGTCTATCTGACTAAGCTAAAATGAATATTGAGTAAAAAATTGAGGTCTAGAAATCCCAGAGATACCAAGATTGTGATATCTTGACTCAAGCCCTGTTGTACACAGAGAAAAGATGAAAGATACTTCTTTGAATCTGCTTAGTCTTGATGCTATATATAATGGGGTTCATGAATGGAGGAAAGAGAAAGTAGACGTAGCTCATGGTAATATGGACCACATCGGGGGCGTGTTTCCCAAACCTGTGGATGAAGGTCAGACCAATCACAGTGAGGTAGAACACCAGGACACAGCTGATATGCGAGACACAAGTGCTGAGGGCCTTAGCTCGCTCCTCTCCAGAGGCGATGCCCATCACTGTCTTAAGAATTAGCACATAAGAAAAGAAAATGATTAAAGCGTCCAGAAAGAAAGTGAAAGCAACCAGAACAACCGGGTATAAGCGATTAAAAGTAATATCTGCACAGGCAAGTTTCATGACATCCTGGTGGAGGCAAAAGGCATGGGAAAGAACATGGGAATGACAATAGGGGAACCAGTAGAGCGGCAGAATTGGGGGTAGGAGAGATACAAAGCCCCTCAACAGTATCCCTAGCCCTATCTTCATCACCTTGGAATTGGTAAGAAGGGAGTTGTACCTCAGAGGGGTACGGATGGCAATGAAACGGTCATAGGCCATGGCAAGTAAGACACCTGATTCCACAATGGAAAGGGAGTGAATGAAATAGGCCTGTAAGAAGCAGGCCCCGTGGCTTATCTCCCTGTGATTCACCCATAAGACCCCCATTACGGTAGGCATTGTAGTCAATGTCACTGTGAGATCTGTGCCTGCCAGCATGGCCAGGAAATAGTACATGGGTTCCTGGAGTCTGTAATCATTTTTAATGAGATGGAGTAATGTGCCATTGCCCAGAAACACAGAGACATAGATGACAAAGAAAGGGACGGAAAGCCAACAGTGGGCTGCCTCCATATGTGGGAAGCCAGTCAGCAGAAAAGGAGTAGCACTAATGTTGGGCCACATGGCATGCCCACTGCTGGAGAGGAGAATTTATGGAAGAAACTCCCAATCCCAATACCGAGCAGCCTCAGACAAACATTTTACTTAGAGATAAGTAATTGATGCCTGCTTTACAGTAGACACTGATAAGCACTTGAGGAATCATGATCTTTTTATTACATATATGATATTATGTCAAGGGGTGAAATTTTCTGAATTAAAAATATCTTATTTTATTACATTATGTCCTTTTACTTTGTGCAAGCTTGAAAAGTTTTGAAGCAATAATGGTTCAATGACACTGAGATATGTCCTTTGTAAAAGGGAAGATGACCATGAGTTGGAAGGAAAGAGGAGGTAGCAGCAGGGAAGGATATTTTTTAAAAAGAATAAGATGCATTATACACATATACCAACTCCCCACAATGAATGTAAATGTTATGTGCTGCAAAGATGTACAAATAAAAATAAAAATTAAAAAACAACCATCTTTCTAAAAATACAGCGATTTTGTTAATAATTGTGCTTACCTAAACTACTGCTGAGTTTGGTTACAGTTTTTTTTCTAATTTACATTTAGATTAAATTCTGTATTTCACAATCATGATAAAGACATTTTATTAGAAAAATTTTCTTCAATAAATTTTGAGTGCAATTCCAATGATTTAATGAAATCTAACAAAATCCAGAAACTTGCTATGGATGGAAATAAACACAAGAGGATGGTTTCACATATAGCCTAAAAGCATTTACAGTTTTCCCTGAAGTTCGCTCATAGGTCGCACGTTAGAAAAACCAATCTGCCTTGCTCTATTTGCTAAAACGAGAAAGTCCATCATGTTGGTTTCAAATAAGATGGGCCATTCTAGTGCTTGACACATGCATTCCTGAAGTGATACTTTCTTACAAACAAGTACAAATGCTGATACATTCTTTGGAGTAAGAAGCTTTTTAATCTGTCTCTCGGTGTTATCCAGAGGTCATATTCTTACTTCTAGAACAATTTAAGTAAGAAAAATCTTCACTTACTTCAGGTATTCAGTAGTAGGTGAAGAAGTGGCTATAGTAGAGGTGTTCTATTTCATTCCTGGAATTTTCTGGTAATTTATAATGAGAAACGATAAAATTCATTTTCTGTCAGATATAGGGACCCAAGGAATTCTAATTTAAATACTAGTCTGGTATTTAAATTTATCTGAAACCTAGCAAAATGACGATATTTTAAAATAAGCAAGGGAAACATTTTGTCAACATGGAGGTCACATTTTAGATTTTGAAATTCAAAATTCAGTTAATTTTCTCCTCAGCCTTACTTTGCTCAGAAGTCTGTAGAGAAATCAGAAGGACTGGAGCCATCCCAAATAGAAATCCTTAAGGAAGTCTGACTTGCATCTCCTTCACATTAAATGCAAATTATGGTGACTTGATTTGGCTGAAACACATTTTAGATTCAGAATGAGGTGGAATAAGTGACTTGAAATAAGTCACTTAATTTCAGGCTGCTGCACTGTTTCAAAGTAGGTAGATATACAGTGTACTCTGCCACTGGCAGCTACACAACTCTTCTGAGCCTGAAACACAGCCCCAGTTTTGGTAACACCATTTCCATCAAGATATGCATAGAGTCATGTAATGTACGAGTAATATCAGGGCAGAGACAAACTACAAGGTAAGATGCCTGCATGGAAGGAGAAGAGTCTCCAGAGAATGGTGGCAGTTTGTCTGCAAGTACTCAATTAGAGTGGAAAGGACCCAAACAATCTCTATTTCATGAGTAGCCATCTATGTTTCTTTCATTCATGTATTTTACAAAACAATATTGATTCCTTTCATGTTGCCTGTACTATTGCCAGTAAAGTACAAAATCACAGCAGCAAAAGTTCATGTATGCGAGGAACTTCAGTGTCCTGTTATGAAAGCCCTGCAATTAAATAGTAGTAAAACTGAGACTTTAATCTTACAGATATAATTTAAATTGAAAAGTAAATGAGTCACTTTTGAATAAGTGTAATTAAATTGTTAAAATAACATAGTACTGTCTAATGGAAAGTGATGAAGGCCAAGCATGGTAGCTCATGCCTGTAATCTCAGCATTCAGGAATCTGAAGCAGGAGGATTGCTGTGAGCTACAAAGTGAGTTCAGTGCCAGCCTGAACTCTATAGTGAAACCCTGTCTCAAAAAAAAAAATTGATTCAGTATAATAGTTCCAATTGTCTTAGGCTGCAACTTTGAGGAGGTGACATCTGAGCTGAGACCTGAATCACAAAGAAGTAATCATATAAAGACCTAGAGGAAGACTGTTTGGGTGAGAAAATCAACTTGACTGAGGTTAGATGGCAAACAGGAGGGGAACAATGGGCATTACCAGGAACCTAGACAGTAATCAAGCTCATAGAGCCTTACAGATGACAATAAGATTTGCTTTTACTCCAAATGTGATGAAAAGGAATTATGGAGTTTTAAAAGTCACATCATAGGAGAGGGTGGTAACATACATTGATTTGCATTTTAAAATTACTCACCTGGTTACTATACAAAAAATAAGTAAAAGAAAGCTATGGAAATACAAATGAATAGAAATACTGACTTTGACTAGGAAGAAGTGAAATGCTAATAACAGCAATAATAAACTTGAATATAAGGATTTCTTTTTAAAAATTAACAAGACTTGCTGGTATATCAGAAGAGTAAAGACATGAAATCACATTGGTTCTAGGTTACTGGCTTAGGGAGTAGAGGATAGTGCTGTCATTTACTCAAAAGAGAAAGTTACCAAAAGAAACTTGTTTACTCTGTGAGGAAATTATGACTCTCTAATAAACATAGCTAAATTAAAGCAAATGTGGATCTTTCCTCACCATATACCAGGACATTTTCTTAAAGATGGTTTCTTCACAAACTAAAAAGATGCTCATGTTCATATAGGTCCCACTGTATTTATTTTGTCAGTGTGAAACACCACCCTTAAAATGCCCCCAAAGAACACCATTCTCCTACCTTGTACTCGTACAAGTGAGATTTAAATATAATCATTTTCTTCAGTGAGGAATGAGAGACAACAGGATATAAAACGTCTCACTTCTTTGGACTTGAGAATGAAGAATATTAAAATAGCAGAATCATTTGTTAGTTTTCATTTTCTGTTCATAGGAATGAGTTACAAACCAGAATTTAGTGTCTTTTGAAAAAATAATGAGTAATTTGTATTTTCCAGTTATCTGAAACAGAGACAGGCTCTTGAATCTCCTCCTTTTCCATGTTCTAAACACATCTCAGACCATGCTTATATCTCTGACCCTTCACGAGCATTCTTCCCTAACACATCTCTTCCATAACACAGCTAGTAAAGAATTTCCTCTTGTAAAGCATGTAGCACCAGTAATGAATCACTAAAGGAACAGTTATCCTAAATAGAAGGTCATTGTGTTTTGTCAATGGTATTCAATGCAGTCTTGCTTCTTTCTGAGAACAATATGCAGAGATACTTTATAATGCAGCTTTAGAGATCAGAAAACTCACCTACTTCATGCTTTATGAAATGAACATGACCTTGGTGATAAACTGCTTTTTTGTTTCTAAGAAAAGTGACAAAGTGAAAAGAGACAAAAGGTGAGGAAATCTCATAGAAAAGGAAAGAAGTCACAAGAATGAAGAAGGTACCAAGAAGAAGATGGTATAATTGAACCTATGAAAAATCAGGTGAACTGCTGTTTATGCCAGAATCCATCTCTACCTTATTAGGGGGAAAAAATCTGATAGTACAAGTAGTATCTCTCTGTTCATCTCCTAGAAAGCAGAGATACAAATGAGAGGCTCAGTCATATTCCTATTACTAGGCACAAACAGACTTAGATACCCATGACCAGTTCCATCTCTGGGTGGTATCAACTTTGGGCTGAGATCTGTATATAAAGCCAAAGATGTGAGTTGATGAGTTTCTTTTCTTCTTTCTGTCTTGCTGTGAAGAGATGGTAAGGAAGTCTACTAGCCCCTCCTTCTACATAGGTTGAGTACTTTCCAATACTCCCTTGCACCTTGGCCTTCTTAGTGGCAATAAAGAACAAGGTTATTACATCCTGGCTAAAGATTCAGTTCATATGACACTTCTGAACGTCTGCTAAGGTACCCAGTCCCTGAGGTTATTAATGAAGAAATCACTACATTTCCCTTTAAGAGTCAACTAGAATCTAAAAAAATATTCTCTATTTTAACCACTCCTATGGATGAATTGAAGCACTACCATAACCTCCCCAAGCTCTCAAATGATCTCCTCTGTTAGTATGGGACTAACAGAGTTAAAGGTAGTATCTTCCTATTTGCAAAATCAAATGGCTTATCTTCATATTCCCAGCAGACTCTGCCATCACCTGTGGGAGGTGTTTACCCTAGACATCAGTTTCAATGGCTAAATATTCCTCAGTTGCTCTCAAGAGAAACTTATACTTGTTTTGGGCCCAAGTAATTTAAATGATGATTACATTTTTTGTTTGATTTATCTCAATGTCATCTCGAAGACTGAAAGAGTTGACTTGGTAAGATCCAGGTACCTTGCCCAAAATTACAACACAAACCCACAATTTCTTTTTTTTATTTTACTTTAAAGAGTAAAATTAAACGAAACAAAACAGATCATAAGAAAACAATTTAAGCGACACAAATTTCAAAGCAAGAAAACAAGAGATCTTCACTATCTCATTGTCTCTTGTTTTCTTCCAAATAGTTATCCATATCTTCACACACAATGAATTCATACAAAATACAATAGTTTAAAACTGATTAGAACAGGACGATGAAGGCATTTTAGGTCTTCAAGACCAGACAATAGGGAAGTCAACAATGGTTGCCATAATGTCTCTTGTTCCCTCAAAATAGCTGTCCATATCTTCATGTATGTTGAAATTAAAACAAAAAAGACTAAAATCACTTTGAACAAAGAATAATAGTATTGCTGGATTTTACATCCTGATGCTATGGAATCAACACTGGGTACCTTAGTATCTCTTTTTCTTCAAAGTACCTGTTC